CACTCCCCGAGGGACCGCGATAGCTGAGTCGTCGCTAAGCGAGGATGACTAACCGAGATGTCGAGGACTTTCCCGCTGCGAGTCAATGAAAATGTTATTACTACTACCATAATTATTATCTCCTGGGGTTTGGGGCTTGGGGTTTAGGGATCGTCACAACACGTGCCCGGTCCCACCAAGCTGAGGATTCCGATGACCTGCACGAAGGTCACGCCGCTCTGCCAGCAGAGGGCTGCCAAGATCATGTCCTGAAACACCGGTGCTTCGAAGGAAAGCTCTCATGGGTTTGAAGATCCCCTAAAAAGCCGAAAACCACACCACCAACCAAAAAACAAGCAAAAACTGGCGAAGAGCCTTCGAGATCAGGTCTTGAGGATGGCTGTGTATCTTTCAGTTCTTTCTAGGGACTGAAAGACTTGTGGGGGCCTGCAGGTTTGATGGGGCTTATAGGGTTTATGCGGCCTAGTACCGCGCCAGTCTGATCTCAGGGTTCAGGCTTCAGGACTTTGAGGGCCTAGGGTGCGAGACTTAGGGTTTTAGGGTTTAGGGTCTAGGGTTTAGGGTTTAGGGGATTTAGGGCTTAGTGTTTAGGGTTTAGGGTTTAGGGGGGTTGCGGTTTAGGCTCCTTCAACGTGTCGTAGGCGTCGGATATAATCGGGCACATTCCGCTGAGGGAGGCGGTGAAGAATGTCTTCAAGCCGTACCTTCCCAGCCAGGGAGCTCAACGTACCCAACCAAAACCCTAAACTGCAGTTTAGGGCTTGGGGTTTAGGGGTTGGGGGTTTAGGGGTTTAGGGGTTTAGGGGTTTAGGGTTTAGGGGTTTAGGGGTTTAGGGGTTTAGGGCATTTAGGGCGTTCAGGGCGTTTAGGGTTTAGGGCCCTAAACCCTAAACCCCTTGCTCCAGGAATCCACCTTAAACAGGATGACATAGTACCCTAAATGGTAGGATCCAAGGACCCCAAAATAGGGTACCCCTAATTTTCGGAAGCTCCCATATGCACCGAGAAAAGGATTCCAAGGCATATGCTTCGGTCCAGACTTTGGGCTCCCCCTAAGGCAGAAACTGGAGCTGTGAGGCGGGAGCTGCTGACTTACTTGGTTTAGGGTTTAGGGTTCAGGGTTTAGGGCTTTAGGGTTTTAGGGTTTAGGGTCTAGGGTTTAGGGAATTGTGAGGAAGATGGTGTGGACATTGCTCGGCTTGCCGAAAATTTGAATCATACATCCCTCTGTTGCTGGAGAAAACCCGGTGCAGGATGCTCCTTTAATTGCGATTTGTCGGAGCTTCGGCAGAATATTGATGAACGTTTGGTGGCTCGACGATGGAAACCCGTGAAAACAAAGGCACCATGCAGCAGCTCCGACTTGCCTGCGCCCTTTGGGGAGGATCACGGCAGCAATGATTGCCTGCGTAATCCTCAGCTTGCAACCAGCGACATGACGGTAAGGGCTAATCTCTGCGAAATGTTCTGTAACGTGCAGACTGGAAACTGCCATACACCAGCGGTGCCAAAGAGTATCAGGTAAACTTCCCAACATAAGCCTGTCTTCTGGCTTAACCTTCCTGTGGCCCCACTCGCGAAAGCTGCCGCCAATGTTGCAGAGTATGTGAAGCTGAATGTGATCACAAAGAGCGCCCGCTTACACCTAGAACACGATGCTGCCAGGGATTGCATAAAAACACGACTAAACAACATTTGATTTAATGAACGGTTGCTGATCCCGCCTTCGGCTCAGCCCTGCTTTCTGTGGAGGCAGCTGCGGAGCATCAGAACCATCTTCCAACGAATCCAGCGAGCTAAGGATGTGCTCTGGCTCAGATCTGCAATTCTTGCATTTTGTGCCCACCCAAAGTATGAAGGTTCCCAAGACCACCACACCGGCATAAAACAGAACCATGGCGGAGATATAAAAATGCATCCGGCCGGAAGAATCTGCAGGAGGCATGCTGTGGATGTACGCAGCATCAGGCAAGAACTTCGGTGGCGCTGTCACGAAAGCCGTCGGGGGCTGCACCTGGAGGTTTCCGAAAATAGGGGACCCAAATCTAGTACCCTAAATACTAGGATCCTTATTATAAGGACCCCAAAAATAAGGTACCCCGAATTTTACGGCAACTCCTACCTGGCTAACTGCCTGCACATCTTCGACCACGTCCGGCAGCTCAACGTCGGCTTCGGCCGCCAAGGCCCATGCCAGGACTGCCAGCGCAAGGCGGTCTTTGCCGCCCATGAAGGCCATGTACATTGTTGCTTAACTTTAACAACAACATAACCCTCAAAAAATAAAAAAAAATAAACACACTTCCAAAACAGATGAAACATGTCCAACGTCGGATTCCACTGCAGCCTGCAAAAACCGGAAGGCCGTTGCCAGTCAAACGCAAGGTCAAATGCAAGATCGCCAAGTTTCTAGTCGTTCGGAATTAACCAAAGAGTGCGGTTCATCTGAAAAGTCTCTAGATGTAAAATAGGGCTTGCGCGGGTAGTACAAAGCAGCAGTGCCTGTAAAACTAACCGGGACTGTGAGACCGCATGGACCCCTTGGATATGGAAGTGCGATAGGTAACCTGAAGGAAATTTTGCTTTAGTTTTTATTTGTAATCGCAATCGCAATAGCAAGGCATATGCAATAACAAAAGAGTACAGTTCTGACGCTTTGATTGCGGCGCATAGTCTCCCCAAGCCTCCTGGAGAACTCCTAACGTAGGCATGTTTTTGCGAATGGTGCCATTCACATTTGGAAGCCTAGAGACAAGTCCAAGGCATCTCGGCCATACGAATAAACATTTATACCGAATTGACCAACTGACTAAAACTCCGAGGGTCGCGCCCACGTGGCACGCTGAGAGATTTTCGAGACCAACGAAAAATAATCTGAGTGTGCTGTCAGGGGACGTTGGCGTAAATGCCAAATGCCAATATCGCCTAAGGTGAAAAACTGTTCATCCAAAACCCCTGCGTCCACATAGTCTAAGAAAGTCTTTCAGAACAGGCGAAACGAAATCGTTTTTTATGGGCAAAGGAAGCCGAGGTCCAGTACGCCGCCGCTTTCTTCATGCTACCTATATTTTGGGACAGGCAACAACTAAGACAAGCATGGTCCACACTACCAATCTTTAAGAACGGCAAAACTAGTACCCACTGTTGAGTCAGCAAAATATATGTACTCTGGAGGGCCCCCCAGCACTTGGCAAAAATCTCGACAATTTTCGGACCCAGAAGC